GGGGGGGGGAAAGATTAGAACCTGGGGGATTGGGAGGTACAATCATGAGAATAATCGAATAAAATTTTTTGTCTGTCATTCAATTAGCAGCACTGTACCAAAAAATGTGCCAATCGGCTAAAATGTTAAGATGCTGAGTTCGAAAGGGCGATTCGACGCCACTTGAACATTCAGTCACAATTCCGGGACACAATCGATATATTAAGAGTAAAAAGTGTTGTTGAAAAAAGTTACCATATTTCAAGTCTTTTGGAAGGCTTTGTTGTCCAAAAAATACGGACAAGACTTACGTCTCTATGTAGTCTCTCATTCGGGTTTGTATCTCCGGAATGGACTGTTGCCGAGAGGATTGCGTCTTATTGGTTAGTTAGCAACCCCCAATGGAGGAATTAAGTAATAATAAGAGTAGGCCTAGGTGGAGAAGAAGTATTCTCAAGCTATATCTATGAAAAACTCACATCCTCTGAATTAACAAGATGATGGATGTGGACAGATGACCATCGCTCCCATAACCACTAAATAGGCATCTGTGTATGGTAACCACTGCGTCACCGGCACACTTCAGCTTGATTGGAGCTTTGGTCAATTCGAGATTACAGACACTTTACCTGGAGCAAAAGATAGTTCTCTCAATTAGTATTCTTCGATTACGCATATAAACAAAATACAGACCTTCACTTTACTGGAATTCAAAGACAAATTGAAAACGGGAACAGAAAGTAAACTAGCAACTCCTCTCTCCCGATTATATCTAAATCTCACTTTTCCCAACATTCTCAAAAGGCCTGAGTGCTATAGATTTCGAACTTACCTCGCCAAACAAGTACTTATAGCGCGTGGCAATTTCTTTGCGTTGGCAAGCTCTTCGTCTAGTTAAGATTTCGATGATCCTTCTTTCATCAGTTTCTAAAATAACACTTTTACAGTTCATTACCAGCGAATAAAGTGACGACTAATATAGCAAGGGTGTTTCAATAGCGTACTTTAAGCCAGAATACAACTTACCAACCTTCTTGTAAACCTTTTGAAATAAAAAAATGGAAGAAGACCACCTAGGAGAGCGAGTTCTAAGGAGCAATAGCGAGTTCTAAACCATCTAGGTCCAATTTGAGTGAATGCTGATTCACCACAATAGCAATAAAATAAGCGTTTTCCTTACCAGCTTCTTGCAATGTAGTAAATAACTCCATTGCAGCACATTTAACATTAAAGCGAGGTTGAGGAAGACGTTTCGATTGTGCAGGCATCATCAGATCTAAATTTGCAATAAAAACAATCTTCATTAGCTAAGGGGCTTTAATAATGAGAGAAAGTTTGACAGTCCCCTACCAAATACTATTCCAGTTAACTTCGAAATTCTAATTGAAATAGCGGTGCTTATATACACGCACCAGTAAATTGGAACATGCAAGTTTGTAAATTGATAAAAAAATTGACAGGTGATTTGTTTGAGGGGAAAACCATGAATGATTATAATCAATCATTTCAATGTTCGTAATTCACACCACACCACCTGATTAATGAGTTTGCTTTGGGATTGATAACTTCACTATATCTTTTACCATTATTATCAGTCAAGCAAATATTTCGCGCATGAGACGAAACGAAGCATCGTTCCCCACTTTCAGAGGTGTTTATATCCACTAAATTTTTACGACTCAACAAAATAGACGCATTATTTATTTATTTATAACAAATGGCAGGCATTTTGTTGGTTATCATTAGCCCATTAGGCGACTTCAGGCTTCACAGAGGGGAGGGAACATCAAATTAAAAACAATTCGAGAGTGGGGGGGGGGGGCAGAAGAGTGTTTCAAAGACGAAGGTAGAAAAGATAGAAAAAAGGTGAGGTGAGTACTGTGGAAGTAGTCGAATATGACATACAGTGGGATGATGGTAGTTTGAAGTGAGAAGTCAGCTGCCAGTTAAAAGACTTTTTTGCCGTATGAGTATACGTTGCCCAGGCTGCACCACGTGGAGGTAAATCTATCGCACACCCATTATTATTGTGGCTCCTAGTCATCAAATTCGGATTCAATGCATTTTAAAGGTAATTTATCAGTTTACTCCTATTCCTAGTTTCAATGCATTCTCGTTCTTCAAAAATAACGAGAGTGCTGTGGACTCTCTCACACACACATATATGTGTCAACGATCTTTCCTGGAGTAAACACTGTTTATTGAACAATTGTGTTTTATAAAATGCCGCTGTCTAGGATCTGATATGTTATTGTCTTAAATGCAGTCTAGGATCTTTCTTACTTAGATTTTAAGAAAAAAGTTTAATTTTAGTGGCAAGAACGGACATTATTATTAAGCAATCGGGAAGAAACAATGAATATTGTGATCAAGAAGTGAATCAGTAAGCCAGATGATGGTTCAGATACCGTGATTTCGCGAATATAAATGGCATATTAAGTAGATATCCTACAACCCGAAACTAAAATAACAAACTATGCCTTTGGAAACCTGAATTTGCCCTCAATACTTTTCTTCACATTCCGCTTCTTATCATGGGGTGTGCCAGAGACTTACCCCCACGTTGTGCACCCTAGGTAACGTATACTCATACGCCAAGAAGTCTATTAACAGGCAGTTGACTTCTGACTTCAAACTATCATAACCCCACTGCATGTCATATTCGACCACTTCCACAGTATTCACTTCACCTTTTTTCTACCTTTGTGTCTGTCTCTTCTACATCTTTGGAACACTCTTCTGTTTACTCCCCTCCCCTACTCTCCACTTTTTTCACTTTGATGTTCCTCCAATTCTGTGAAGCCTGAAGTCAACCTAAGGGCTAATGATAACCATCATAATGCTTGCCATTTGATATAAATAATACTTCTTATCATTTGTTGGAGTTGCTGTCTTCTACTCTATTGGAATAAAGAAAATTCTCTCACTGAGTTAACCCTTTAACGCCCTAAATGTGTTTTTCTGAAAAATGTACCCAACCGTACTCATGCGTGTCTCACAGCATAATTTATCAATTTTGATGTTAACAGACGATGGCTATAGACACGTATTGAACATGCTACACACCTTAGCAGCGCCTTCTGTTGCGAGTTTATCGTCGATGGAGCTATTTTTGAAAGAAGACCGTACGGTCCTAATCGCGTTAAATGGTTAATTACTTATTTACCAAAAGAGTGGGAAAGAAATCCAGCTCTAGAATTGGAACATTATTATTATTTCCAACTGCAATAGTTACTTAGATCACACGGTTAAGAGAATTAGCATATTTATCAATGCTAATAAATGTGTGTGCGTGCATGTGTGAGGCACAAACAACAGTTTCCCACGCCTACGTGTAGACACCTTTGACTTATCACTGCCAAAATGAGAAATTCGCTTATTTAGTTTAAAATTATGAGGTGCGCGATAGACTTACCTCCACTTGGGGCACCCTGGGCAACGTATACTCATACGGCAAAAACGTCTATTAAATAGCAGTTGATTTCTCACTTCAAACTACCATCACCCCACTCTATGTCGTATTCCACTACTTCCACAGTGCTCACCTCACCTTTTTCTACCTTTGTGTCTGTTTCTTTAACATCTTTGAAACACTCTTCTCTTCCCTCCCCACCCCACTCCTCTCGACTTTTTCACTTTGATTTTCCTTCCCTCTGTGAAGTCAACTAAAAAGCTAATGATAAATATCATAACTCCTGCCATTTTATATAAATAAATAGTTTAAAATTATTTATTTAGTCTATCGCGCACCCCTATTTAGTTCAAAATAAAGCCACCATTGCATTTATTTCAAACCCAAGTTGGGAACAGGGTAATATCAGAATTTTACGAGATGGAATTAGTGCAGGAAGTGTACAGTTGCTTATACAAAAAACTGTGATTTGTTGTTGACAATAGGCTGACGAAGATTCTTTCGTAGACAATGAATATAATTAATCCTTAACTAGTTTATAAGTCAATTTAGGTAGTTAATAAAGGTCTAGAATGTACATATTAAAATTTGAATACGAATTTTAATTGCTTGAATTTTATTTCCTAAATAGCTTGTGCATTGACCATATAGGATTCAAATGAATTACAGAATGCCTCCAGTCAAAGCAGTCTTTTCCACAGTCTGCCTATGTCGTGTTACACAACTAACTTGGATGCCAATCCACTGGATAGGAATTTGCCTTCAGTACAAATTGAGCTAAGATCATCCATTTTCCACTCCATTCAAATAAACTCGTAGAATTATTTTCAATATCTTGAAAAACAATTATTTGAACGCAGAGAGAAGTAGGGAATCCAAACGAGCTAATTACTCTCTCCTTATCATGTTACGGCTAGACGATCCGATTGTGCTGCTATGAGGCGTCTGCCTTCTAGATTTGCCCAGAGTACAGTGATTCGGACTAGAGTGTGGTTTATCAGGATGTAGCTTGTCAAAAACCCAATACGATGTAATTCAAGGCGGTATTCACATTGCTGATGCTATTGTAAAATTAAAACTGTCAAATGACTACGAAGATATTAGAAGCGATGACGGCCCACATATAGATATGAATGAAGGACAAATTTGAGACCAGCTGTGGGAAGTGCATCACCCCCAGACAAGTCATAAACACAACAGATAAAGGCTTGGATATCTACCATATCAAAATTTGTAGGAGCCTACTCAGCAAACTATAAACTATTCTAGAGATATAAGTTGCCCAACAATTCTTTGAGTGTTACGACGTTTCGAGCTGTTCAGGTGTTCTTATAATTTACATGCTAAAATGTAGCGTGGAAAAGAATTCGGCCTAACCTAAAGATGCTATAACATCTTATTTCTATTATCTTGAGAGTGATGCCATCTTAAGATTTATTAAAGAACAATATTGAAAGTATTTTTGCTGTGTATTAACATTCACGGTTATAAACTTGCTTTACGTACCATTTATTTAGATATCCCCTATCACAAACGCGTTGATCATGTAAAATTTTATTTGTTTTCATTTTAAATGCCATTTATAGTCAACCCAAGGTCTGTGAAACAAAAATAGTACTATATATATATATATATATATATATATATATGTGACCCAGTTACTGTAAACAATGCCAAGTTAAAAAAAGAATCAATCACATTGATTCATATTTTTTATTGTCAAAAGCTCATTTTTTGAGTCTGCAGTCATTTTTGTCATGTTTTTGACATGTGATCTTTGTGCCGCCAATGATCCCGTGGAAGTTAGATAGTAATGTATAAGCATGAACTCCCTACCCCCAAATTTCTTTTCTGAAACGTGTCTGAAACATGTGTTGGGAACCGCGCGTTTTACTATTTCTCACTGTCGGTCAGAGATTATCAGTGTGATTGGCATCCCAAGCCAATGGAAGTAAACAGATAGCGCTGTTTTTGTGATTTCAAATTTCTCTAACTTGAACGTTAATCACCTGCTTCACTATTCTCGCCAACTCAAAATATGGTTATATTATTGATGGTGAAGATGACGATGATGATGGTGGTGGTGGTGTTTGATTACATGTAGTGGGGAATGCAGGCTCTCTGCTTTTTTGATAAATCAGGAGTAAAATTAGTCTGGGACTGGAAACGGTTAATGTAAAAAGCCCAGCAAAGGAGAGATTTTTGCACTTCAAATAGTAATAGTGGTTGATTAATTTGAAGGTTTGAATTCATTAGATAATAGCAAATGAAGGAAAATGAGGAGAATGCCGAGTCCTGTTATATTGCCTCCCCCTTAAGCCAAACACCCATTGCTGGTTTTTTACCTCAACTGAAAGCCTGTTAGAACTGCAGAATCCTTTACAATGTCCCAATTTAAAAGCCTTCATAAATTGGCAATTATGAAGACGTAGAATGAATGAAAGAGAGAGAGAGATCTGGAAAATCAATCTCGTTTATTAAAGTAAACCCTAAATGCATCAGAAGCATAAAATACCACATGGATGCCAACCAAAATATTGAGAGCATCGTATGTTGGTTCGAATTTTATTTTTTGCTTCATAGTTAAAACATCAAGTTCCAGTCAATGTAAATGCAAATAAGAGTACTTCACAAAATCACAATGTCAAAGTAGAGCACTTGCTTTGAGATAACAATAGAAGTGATGACTCACCCAGAGTTCATGGATTGTTTTTCTACCTGGTGACTGATCTCGCGGCTCTCCTACTTTTCACATGTTCGAAGTCAAGACGGTGATTCAGCGGAGAGCGATCGAATTTGTTACAATTTAATAAAGCCCCATAAGCATTCAATTACGGTAGGCACTAAAATGAAGTGTTCAAGGGGATTAAGGTCTACTACTTGTGGCATATC